GCAGCTGGAGCAAGAGTTCAAACTGCTGACTGACAGAAACCACAAAGAAAATATTTACTTAGTGGGAAACCAAAATAGCAAAAACTTTACCCCAGATAGCCTAAAAAAAATAGCAAACAAACTGGGGTTGACTAAGAGCAGAATCATCATAAAAACAAAGAAGATAAATGATGCTGACTTTGTCAACTGTTTGAAGAACAGTGTGAGCAATGTACTTACCAACACAAAACATAGGATGTCAGTAGAGCAGATGGCTGACATTGCACGTTACCTGGGAATTTTAGTTGATGAGGATTCTCCAGAATGTCAGGATGGGAAGAAAAAAGCAGATGCCATCACTGCAGAGATTAAAGACACATTAAAATACAAAGAGGAACAGTTTCCTTTTCAAGGCCAAATATGGAAGGAACTGACTTTCTTGGAAAAGGAAGAATTTCGTCTCCGAAAAGTTGGATCTGAAAACATTGAAAACTATAAAAGTAATCTTAGAATGAAAAAAGAAGAGCTCCGTCAGAAACAGAACTGCTATGCTATGTCAAATGTAATGGCACGCTTCATTACTGCAATATCCAGCCCAGAGAGAGAGAGGGGTTATTTTCTGAAATGGATGAGAATGAACCTTGATGACTTGTCTCGAGAAAAACTTTCTGACCTTCGGGCTCTTTATAAGAAAATATCCAAGGACTCTGAGAACAAAAATGAAATCAAAGAAATTGACCAACAACTTTCCAATAGCTCACTGGGAGTTGAACACTTGTTCCGTGAAATGGGTCAGATCTACGAAGCTTCTCTTTCTCTTCCTGAAAATAACCCATCACGCCAACAACTGCAACATCTGCCTAAACTCTGTGCTCAGTTGTTGCTGGATGGATTTCCTCTTGAGCTTGTAGATGGAGATGNATTTTCTTTTTTTTCTCGAATTGATATTATAAAACTGGTATCGAAAAAAGTATCGTTCAGGAACCGGTATCGAAGTGAAGGTATCGGTATTGGTACCGGAACCGAAAATTTTTGAACAATACCCAGCCCTAGCTGCAGCAGAGAGAGGAGAGTTCATCCAGCTTTGTTTACCTAAATCTAACCACCGAACAGAGGGCCCCAAATGCTGTTTGCTAAAGGGGCCGTTAGAAGCAGCCAGACCCGGGACTACCTCTGCCTGAGAGGGAGGCTGAGAGCAGCTGCTACAATGAGGGACGTCGTTACAAGCTAACCCTTGTAGTTAAAAGGGGGATGTCCCAGCTACCGTGAGTTATAAAACTAAGCCCCTTACAAAGTTGCCTCTTATTGTTGCATCGGATTAATCCAAATCTTTTGGAGAGCTGCTGTTTGACGAACCAACTGGACCGAAGAAAGGGGCCTGCAGAAACCGAACCGAGGTGAAAGCCTTCCATCCCACTGAGCCTAAATAGTAACATCCATCCCCCCCCCCTTCTATCTGACCCTTAATGAGTGCTCTGCTTCTGTGAACTAGGTAGAATAGATGGTCGTGTTTGTGTTTTATTTGAAATGAGCTTTCTGATTCAACTGCTGACGGGTTTAAAAGGTTTACCTGAATGCCAGTGCTCACTGCATAGACTGAACGAGCCACGTGGGTCTAATAAATATGCTCCAGTGGACTGGCTAACATCGTGAGCGAACCTTTTCTTAGTTTCAGCTGTATCCATCCGGACCAGACCCCCTGGGACCAGCTAAACTAACCCACTTCTCATCACAGTTTAATGCATTCCTGAGTCATAATTTCTGCTTATACTCAACAGTGTTTAGTGTTTGTGTAGATATTAGAGATTATATTGTTTGCCGGTAGTTATTAAAGGTACCATTGTATTTTTAACCCGTGGTCTCTTGTGTTTATTTAACACAGAGAACAATTTATCACTCAGACTGGATTCACTCTTCTTTCAGTATTATCCGAATAAACAGAGGCATATTTATTTGGTTGGTGATTAATAACGTTGCTAATAGCCATAGTCTTAATAACTAAATTGGTGAAAGACAACTGGATTTTTAACAGCCAGATTCAGGAGTTCAAACTTTAGGAGTAATAATAATAATAATAATACATTTTATTTAAAAAGGCGCCTTTCTGGACACTCAAGGTCACCGTACAAAACATAAAAAGTGTCAGAAAAAATAAAAATAATAATTATAAAGACATTTAAAAACATTTNAAGAACCTACGAGACAGAAAGCTGCTCCTAGAACAGCTGAATGAGATGACACAGGCAGCAGCTAAAATGGAAAAGAAAGAGAAGAACAAGAAATTCACTGATGTCATGGAGTACAATCCAGACACTGGGAACTGCTACATTCCTGGACTCTGGAATGGAAACCCACCAATGGCACCAGTTAATGCAGGATACAGTAAGGCCGTCTATGAGCTCAAGAAAAACATCATCCAGCTACTGGAAAAGTGTGGGTCAACTTCTAATAACATCTTGGAGTTCAGAGAGTGGATAACCAGCCTGTGGAACGCAGTAAAACATGAAAACTTCATCTTCAGCTTCAGAAACAGTCTGGTAGCTGATGCATACATGAGGCTCTGCACAGAGTACAACAAATGGGAGTCGGAGTTCAAAAAAGAAATGTACAACTGGGTTACCAAAGCAGAAACTAGAATTTCTAATTTTGGCAGAGTTGCTGCAACAACTGACATATCTGACATGGAGGAATTTGTCACCGTGTTAGAAAGTGAAGCAGTCAGAGAGCTGATAAAGTTGGAGGCAATGATTCTTGAGAACCTGAAGAAATACTTTGAGCAGCCAGAAGTTCATGTTTACCTGGTTGAAGGATACAGAGAGGAATTATCTAACAGCATAAAGAGTCTTAGAGGACAAACAGAAAGATCAGTGTTTAAGCAGCTCAGAGTAGCAGCGGACATCAAACAGGGAAAGCAAGAACGGAAAGTTTTAAAATCAAAACCACCTACACAGAAGAACTTGAAAGAGCAGTCTGTTTAAATTCATGAGGGTCAAAAGAAAAAATTTAAAAATGACAGAGAGCTAGAGGAAAGTTTTGACAGGATGTGGACTAAAACATTGAACACCTTGACTTTTGCTGCACAGAAGACTTTAAATGTTTATGATAGGGTTTACCATCAGCTACAAACAAATATTTCACCCAAAGGAAGCCAATGCCTCTGAACTGCTAAGTAAGAAAAGACTTCAAGACTGTGGATTGGAGCCCTTTTAAATACACACCTAAAGGAGTGCATAAAAACATCAAAGTTACTTGGATAGGATGGTGGTCTGAGAAGGATATAGTAAAGGAGAGACAAAAAAATGCAAACAGCATCATTGCTGATTGCTGTAATTTTTTGTTTAGAAAAATGAAAAAGAAAACAAATTATCATGATACTTACATCCAGGAGATCCTTCACATCATTGATGAGAAGCTGAACAATGATGATATTAACAGGGACATTGACTTTGAGGTTTCTCTGAAGCAGCACATCTGTGGATTTGCTGCTAGAGAGTTTCAAAAGATGCATGAAGATTTTATACAAGAAAATGATCCTAAGAGATGGCTGCAGGAAAACAAGGAAAAGTTCTGCACTGATTTCAAAGATGTGTTCAATGAGCGAGATCAGTGCCAGAAGAAAGCTGAAGAATTCACCAACCAATGTCTGAAACCTGCTGTGAAGGACTTTGTCTATCGTTCTCTTGGTTCTGATATTGTTGATAAAATGCTGAAAAAAGAAGAATTCAGCACACGGATGTCATTCAAGTATTTAATTTTACTGGATTTGATTGAAAAAAGCAACTTCAAAAACCTTCAGAGATGCATTTACTCATATGAAGATTATGTAAAAGTTTGGATACGTGATAGAATTAAGGAAAGTTTCTCCTCTGAGCTCTCAGTATGTGAGTTGGAGAACAGACGTCTTCAGTCCTGCATCAACCACATACATGCTGCCATAGAAAAAGCAAAAGTAGAAAATACTGCAGATATTTTCAACAAATGTCTTCAGACTATCAAAGAACTTGGTGATAAACTGGTAATTTCCCAGGATGCTCTCAATGCCTTTATGGTTCTGAACAAGGCTGACCAGGAACAGTTTGCTCACTGGCTCAGTGAGTGTGTGGAGGAAATGAAAGAAGCTCTTAGGGAGAAGTTTAAAAAAATAGACTTTGAAACAAATGGAAATATGTCATGAACAAGTACAACAAGGAATTTTCCGAAGCATATAAAGCAGAACCTACTGACATTCCTGATGCTTGGAAGAAAATCACAGTACAGCAGGCAAAGAAAAGTCTAAGGCAATCATTCAGCATCAGGTGAAATCATGATGTCTAGTTGGACGACCAAGGGCCGGATTTATCAAGATCCAATTTTGCGTGCAGTAATTTGCGCTCGCAAACTGGAATTTNAAAACATTTTAAAAATACAGAGGCTGTGACAGTGAAATTGATATTTTTAAAGAGAATAAGCAATCTTGAACAGATGGGTTTTGAGTTGCATTTTAAAATGGAGAATTGAGTCCGTATTTCGAAGTTGAGGTGGTAGAGAGTTCCAGAGGCGGGGGGCAGAGCGGCTGAATGCTCTGCTCCCCATGGTAAGAGGCTAAAATACATTATATATAATAATCATTAATCTGATAATAAATAATTTGTTTTACCCTTCATTTGAATGACCTATTAATCAAGTATAACTTCCAGTTCTAGTTATTTAATATATTCATAATCTTTTGGTAAACTTTCACAACATGAGGGACAATGACTTCTAAACAATTATAATAAATAAAGGTTTAACACAACTTAAACAAAAACAAAACCTTATCTTGTATACTAGTAAAATCACTATACAGAGTCAGAAATTAATTGCTTTATCATCTGTAAATGTTTCAGTTTTAAGTTGATTTTAAGGATCTAATATTTATAAAAAAATCCACCTTTAAAATGATAAGGAAAACCATTTAATAAAATATTGTTCATCATGTGTGGATGCTCATTTTTAGATTCACCTTTGATTGTGTTTGTATTCCACAGATACTTACCTGAAGAGCTTTTTGGAGGATTTGAGGTTGCAGGAGTTCTACAGAGAGAAGATGTCACTCAACAAGATCCTAGAGCTTGATAATAAGACCATTACTGATGAACCAGCAAAGGACAAATCAGATCTTCCCTGGTATTTCTTAAAGAAACTGATGATGAATAATGTGACAGCAAGAAATACGTGTATCTCTGAATCACAGAGTGCAGAGTTAGATTCTATTGATTACTTTAATGATATCAACACAGATGACACGTTAAACCCCCTTGACTTAATCACTGCTCTCTTTCTGTGCTCTGATGGTTTTGTTCAACAAGATCTGGTGTTAAAAATGTCCATGTGTCAGTTCTCAGTTCCTCTGCTGCTTCCAAACTGTGATACAAAGCAGTGCACCCTCATGCTGTGGGCCATGAGAGACATTGTTAAGAAGTACAGACCTCCAGATCTTTCAGAATCAAAGGGCTTCATTGAAGAACGAATAGTTACTTCTGAACTCCCAATGGTCTCTTTTGTGAGACTGGGTGAGTGCTCCATGTCCAAATCAGAGATCCTCAATAAACTCCTGAGTAACTCTCAGCAGAACCATGACACCTTTGTTCACCGCAACATGGAGTGTGGAGACAGTCCAAGAGTAATATCCAATGGACTGACTGAAATGACCTGGTACCTTCCCTGTGGAAACAAAAACATGGACATTTTCAGTGAGCCAGTAGCTATAGCTAACCTTCGTGGTGACATAGCTTCATTTGAAACACAATTCTCCTTTTTGTGTCAGACATCTGCTGCAGTTTTTGTGTTCTTTGATGAGCTGGAGCAGCTGGAATCACAGTTAGAACTGCTGGCTAACAAAAACCACAAAGCAAAGATCTTCTTGGTAGGAAACCAACAAAACAAGAACTTGAGTATTGATGCTTTTAAAAGGTTAGCAAACAATCTTGGGAAAACAAACATTCTAATTAAACAAAAACAAACAAATGATGCTACTTTCATCAAAGGGCTGAGAAAAGCAATCGGGGATGTGGTTTATGATCCTCAGATGAAGATATCAGTAGAGAAGATGGCTGACATTGCACATGAACTGGGAATAGAAGTTGATGAGGATTCTAAAGAATGTCAGGAAGGGAAAAAAAATGCAGATGCCATCACTGCAGAGATTAAAGACATCTTCGAATACAAAGAGGAACAGTTTCCTTTGCAAGGCCAAATATGGAAGGAACTGACTTTCTTGGAAAAGGAAGAATTTCGTCTTCGAAATGTTGGATCTGAAAACATAGAAAACTATAAAAGTAATCTTAGAATGAAAAAAGAAGAGCAGCGTCAGAAACAGAACACCTATGCTGTGTCAGATGTAATGGCACGATTCATTAAAGCAATATCCAGCCCAGAGAGAGAGAGGGGTTATTTTCTGAAATGGGTGAGAATGAATCTTGATGACTTGTCTCAAGAAAAACTTTCTGGCCTTAGGGTGAAGTACAAAGAGAAGTACAGTGACTCTGAGCACAAACAAGAGATCAAAGAAATTGACCAACAACTTTCCAATAGCTCACTGGGAGTTGAACACTTCTTCCGTGAAATGGGTCAGATCTACGAAGCTTCTCTTTCTCTTCCTGAAACTGATCCATCACGTCAACAACTGCAACATCTGCCTAAACTCTGTGCTCAGTTGTTGCTGGATGGATTTCCTCTTGAGCTTGTAGATGGAGATGCTTCCAACATACCTCTCAGATGGGTGAGTGATGTTCTCTATCAGCTCAATGACTTGGTGTCTCCTAAGAACAAGATAGTGGTCGTCACAGTTCTTGGAGTTCAGAGCACAGGGAAATCCACCCTCCTGAACACCATGTTTGGAGTGCAGTTTGCAGTCAGCAGTGGTCGATGCACTAGAGGTGCCTTCATGCTGCTCATCAAAGTCAATGAAGACTACAGAAATATTCTAAACTGTGACTTTATGATGATCATCGACACTGAAGGCTTAAAGTCTCCTGAACTCGCTCAACTGGACAACAGCCATGAACATGACAATGAGCTGGCAACACTTGTTGTTGGCCTGAGTGATGTCACCATTATCAATATTGCAATGGAGAATTCAACAGAAATGAAAGACATCCTGCAGATAGTGGTGCATGCTTTCCTCAGGATGAAGGAGGTTGGCAAAAAGCCCAGATGTCAGTTTGTTCACCAGAACGTTTCTGATGTTTCAGCTCATGAGAAGAACCTACGAGACAGGAAGCTGCTCCTAGAACAGCTGAATGAGATGACCCAGGCAGCAGCTAAAATGGAAAAGAGAGAGAAGAACAAGAAATTCACTGATGTCATGGAGTACAATCCAGACACTGGGAACTGCTACATTCCTGGACTCTGGAATGGAAACCCACCAATGGCACCAGTTAATGCAGGATACAGTGAGGCTGTCTATGAGCTCAAGAAAAACATCATCCAACTGCTGGGAAAGTGTGGGTCAACTTCTAATAATATCTTGGAGTTCATAGAGTGGATAACCAGCCTGTGGAAAGCAGTAAAACATGAAAACTTCATCTTCAGCTTCAGAAACAGTCTGGTAGCTGATGCATACATGAGGCTCTCCACAGAGTACAACAAATGGGAGTGGGAGTTCAAAAAAGAAATGTACACCTGGGTTACCAATGCAGAAACTAGAATTTCTAATTTTGGTACAGTTGCTGCAACATCTGACACATCTGACATGGAGGGCTTTATCAGTGAGTTAAAAAGTGAAGCACTCAAAGAGCTGATGAAGTTGGAATCAATTATTCTTGAGAAGCTGAAGAAATACTTTGAGCAGCCAGAAGGTCATGTTTACCTGGTTGAAGGATACAGAGAGGACTTTTCAAACAGCATAAAGAGTCTTAGAGGACAAACTGAAAGATCAGTGTTTAACCAGCTCAGAGAAGCAGCAGACATCAAACAGGGAAAGCAAGAACTGGATAAAATTAAGACCAGCTATACAGAAAAAATTGAAAAAGCAGTTTGTGCTTTAATTGATGAGTGCCGTAAGAAAAAAGTTAAAATGACAGACAGAGAGCTTGAAGACAGTTTTGATAGGATGTGGACTAAAACATTGGACACCTTGTCTTTTGCTGCACCACAGACTTTAGATGTCTATGCCAGTGTTTACAGTCAGTTGCTAACAAAGCTTTCACCTAAAGGCGGCCATGCATGTGAACTGTTAAGTAAAAAAAGACTTAAAGACTGTGGATTGAAGGATTTTACCTACATACCTAAAGGATTGGGGAAAAACATGAAAGTTGCTTTGAAAGGATGGTGGTCTGAGAAGGATATAGTAAAGGAGAGACAAAAAAATGCAATCAGCATCATAGCTGATTGCAGTAAGTTTGTGTCAAGAAAAATGCAAAGGAAAACAAATTATCATGATACTTACATCCAGGAGATCCTTCACATCATTGATGAGAAGCTGAACAATGATGATGTTAACAGCGACACTGAGTTTGAGGTTTCTCTGAAGCAGCACATCTGTGGATCTGCTGCTAGAGAGTTTCAAAAGATGCACGAAGATTTCATACAAGAAAATGATCCCAAGAGATGTCTGCAGAAAAACAAGGAAAAGTTCTGCACTGATTTCAAAGATGTGTTCCATGAGAGAGATCAGTGCCGGAAGAAAGCTGAGGAATTCACCAACCATTGTCTGAAAACTGCTGTGGAGGACTTTGTCTATCGTTCTCTCGGTTCTGATATTGTTAATAAAATGCTGACAAAAGAAGAGTTCAGCACACGGATGTCCTTCCAGTATTCTATTTTACTGGATTTGATTGAAAAAAGCAACTTCAAAAACTTCCAGACATACGTTTGCAAATATGAAGATTATGCAAAAGTTTGGATACATCATAGAATTAAGGAGAGTTTCTCCTCTGAGTTCTCAGTATGTGAGTTAGAGGACAGACGTCTTCAGTCCTGCATCGATCACATAAATGCTGCCATTGAAAAAGCAAAAGCAGAGAAGACAGATAGTCTGAAGACATTTGTTGAAAATATCTGCAAAAAACTTGGTGATAAACTGGTTATTCCCCAGGATGCTCTCAATGCCTTTATGGTTCTGAACAAGGCTGACCAGGAACAGTTTGCTCACTGGCTCAGTGAGTGTGTGAAGGAAATGAAAGAAGCTCTTGGGAAGAAGTTTAAAAACACAGATTTTGAAACAAAACTCAGACAGCTCCATTTAAAACCACAGGATGAGCTTTTCAACAGAGTGGTTGGTTGTGGCAAACAATGTCCATTCTGTGAAATACCCTGTGATGCAGGAGGAGCAGCTCACAGTGAACACTTTGCTTCCCTGCATCGACCAATGGGTTTGGGTTGTTATAGGTGGGATGATTCAAAAAAACTTACAACTGACATCTGTTCTTCTTCTGTCATCAGTGACACATGTTTTCGCTGTAGCGCTACAAAAAATGAATGGCATCCTTACAAAGAATATAGGAAGATTTATTCAGACTGGAAAATTACTCCAGATTCAAGTTATGAGGCATCAGATTATTGGAAATATGTGATGAACAAGTACAACAAGGAATTTGCTGAAGCATATAAAGCAAACCCTGCAGACATTCCTGATGGTTGGAAGAAAATAACAGAAGAGCAGGCAAAGGAAAGTCTCAAGAAATCATTCAGCATCAAGTGAAATCATGATTGTCTAGTTAAAAGATTATAACTGGTTTTTGCATTTAGAGTACTTTTATATTTTTTCTTGAAAGCCCACCTAATTTATACTCAGGGTAAATCTATTTGAAGAATTAAGATTATTAATATTGTTATAATTGAATCAAGATTAAATTTAGGTCAGACTGCTTTGTGGGGACCTTAAAGGTGTGCTTTTTCAGATTTTTGGCTAAGCTTTTGTTTTTCTCAAAACTCTTAGCTGCTTACTAATGAAATGTATAATCTCAACTAATCGTATTAAAGAAATAAAGTGCAACACATCATACAAATAAAATGAAAACATGGTATTTCTGCATAGAACCTAGATGAGTCAAACATAAAATAGCTTTAGGTTTAGTGTTGTACTAAAAGCCACAGCACTATCCTAATCTTAGCCTACCTGTACTGATGTGGGAATTAAGTGAAATGTATGTATATGACTCTGAATCTGTCTCTGTTAGGTTGTGAAACTGATTATTTCTATGAACCTGATCTGCTTGCATTGAAAAAAACCTTCAGGTCAAATAGTTTAGGGTCAGTCTTAAACTGAATTAAGGAAAAAAATCGAAAAAGATGTTCTTGTACAGATTTTCTTTTAAGTTGGTTAATTTAATGTCAACCATTCTTTATGGCTTCAGTGATATATATGGAATTGTGTTGCCATGAAAACAATGATTTTCTTTGCCTTTGTATCATAAAAATAAACATTCAGATTTTAGTTTTGTTTAGTTATGTTTCTTATTTTGAGTTTTTCCTTTGTTTTTGTTACTTGCTCTGTTTTTCCTCTTTTTCACTTGTATTTGATTATTTTTGAAAGGTACAAATAATATCAGACAGAGCAAATTACAAAGAACATGTGGTAATTAATGACTGATATACATTATCCATTGTTTCCAAAGAGCTTCATATTTTGCTTGTTGCAACCTTATTATAAAAGTGTGTCTTTCTGTGCTGTGAATTTCCTCTACGATGTCCATCCAGTTTATACCGCTAGCGGGTTCTTTTTTATACCATTGTGTGGAATTAACTTTTTTGCTGCTGCCAACCGAATCTTAAATAAATAATGATTTTTCTTCTGAATCTCTGCTCCCTTTACTTGACTAAAATATGTCAGTATTTTCCTTGGGGTTCTGTACCTCAGTTTCTTATCAATTTCTTAGGCATTTTCTTCCCAAAATAGGGATGGATTGCAGCACCTCCAGAATATATGTGCATGACCCACATTCTGTTCTCCACACAGTCTCCAGCAGGAATGGTTTAAGGATAACAATGCCTTTTTTATCTTGGGAGTAAAAAAAAGACTAAATTTACAAAAAAAAATTCCAATTCCTAGAACTAGTAGTGGTAACCTGCGATTTACAAATAGTGTTCCACATAGGATCACTAATGTCCTCCTGTAGATGGTCTCTAATATACAGCATTGAGGTTTTCCCATTATCTATTAATTCTTTATACAGTGTTGATACCACTTTCCACTTTTGCTTTTATCTGCATCACTTAATATTTGTGTAATTGTATTAATTTCACCTGGGAGCACTGGGCTTATCTCTTTTAAATAATAGTCCTGTAGCTGAAGGTACATGTAAAAATCTTGATTTCCATTATGGAACTCCCTCTGTAGAGTTTGGACACTTAAAATTTGGCTTTTCTTGAGAATTTTTTTCCCGAATGTTTAATCCATTACTTGTCCATTCTTTAAATTTAAAATTTATTCTAAATGGTTTGAAATCTTTGTCATAGGCCAACTAGCTAAATAGACTAATTTCTTCCTCTAACTTAAATTCCAAGGTGATTTTCCTTAATTCTTTGTTTTGCTATTATTAATGGAAAAAGCTCTGTCTAGTTTGGTTTAAGGATAACAATGCCTTTTTTTTCTTTGGAGTAACAAAAAACTTACAAAATTTACAAAAAAAATTTCCAGTTCCTAGAAATAGTAGTGGTAACCTGCGATTTACAAATAGTGTTCCACATATCATCACTTATGTCCTCCTGTAGATGGTCTCTAATATACAGCATTGAGGTTTTCCTATTATCTATTATTTCTTTATACAGTGTTGATATCACTTTTATTTTTATCTGCATCACTTCATATTTGTGTTATTTTATTAATTTCACCTTGGAGGACTGGGCTTAACTCTTTTAAATAGTAGTCCCCTAGCTGAAGGTACATGTAAAAATCTTGATTTCCAAATGGAACTCCCTCTGCAGAGTTTGGACACTTAAAATTTGACCTTTTTTTTGAGAAATATTTCTAGAGAGTTTAATCCTTTACTTGTCCATTCTTTGAATTTAAAATTCATTCTAAATGGTTTGAAATCTGTGGCATAGGCCAACCAGCTAAATAGACTAATTTCTTCCTCTAACTTACATTTTAAACCAAATCTCCAAGGTGATTGAGTCCACTTTCTTTTCATTTTCCTTAATTCTCTGTTTTGCTATTATTAATGGAAAGAGCTCTATTCAGTTTCAGGCTGAGTCCTTTAAAGAGTTCAAAACACTGAGAGCTGCAATTTATCAGCTGTGAATTAGGACAGTCTAGCCTTGAGCAGCAGTCCAACTCTCACTTCTGTTGGGATCTGGAGGTCTGTCCACTTTCTCCACCAGAGGGCGTACTAGATCTCCTGGAGCCGGAGCTGATTGCAACCACCTGTCGCCTATCAGGAGATCTGTATTTAAGGAGGCAGAGGACTTCTCTCCAGTGCCAGAGTGTTTGCCAGTTAAGGTTAGCAAGCCTAAGCCAACCTGCCTGTCTGAATCTCTGACTCCCTGAAAACCAGAACCTGAACCTGATCTGTTTTCTCCTCTCTGCTTCCTAGATTGAACCTGTCTGAAACCTGAAACCCAGAAGAGTATCTCTGCCGGTAATCTGCCTGTCTGTTCTCTGAAGAACCCTGGAAAACTATTTCTGTCAAAGACCTGCCTGCCCGCTCTCTGAAGAAACCGGAAGGGAAACTCTAATCGGTAATCTGCCAACACTCAAACCAAAGCTCTGCCTCCGCCTAGCCCTCAGCCTGCCGACAGCCTCTGGACCCTCAAGGTTCCCCCTCAGCCGCTCAGCTCAACTCCTGTACAGGTACAGCCCTGCGCACTCTCATCCTGCAAATTACCTGGACCTCCACTAACTCCTCTGTCCCCCTCAGCAGTGAACCCACTTGTGACCAGTCCTGGACCTGTTAACTCTGTGTGCATTTCAGGATCCACTCGTGACCAGACGAGTTCCCCATGGGATCTGTTTATTTATTGTATTCCATCTTCTAAATAAACTTTTGAACTTTTATCCAGTCTCGGAGTGTTCTGCATGTGGGTTAGGCACCTGAAGCCAAACATGACAGAACACTCTGGCCAACAGACTAACCCAGCAGAATCACTCGGGAGGATATTGGAACAACAACAAACTCTGATTCAGAGCCACGACACCGCCCTCCGTGACCAAACAAACCGCTCTTTACAGGAGATAGTCTATCTGCAAAATGCTACTCCAAGAACGGAGCCCGCTCAATTTCCGGTTCAAGAGACTAATCCTCCACTCAGGTCAAAACCCGGTCCGTCATTTCCTGAATTCCGCCTTTCACTTCCTAAAAAATGTTTTGGCAATCCAAGTAAGTGTAAGGGATTTTTGTTCCAGTGTAAACTCATTTTTGAACATTCGCCATCCAGTTTTCCTAATGAGAAGAGGAAAATTGCCTTTATTCTGTCTCAATTGTCCAGAAAAGCCCTCGAATGGGCGGAAGCCAGATTTTCTTCAGAATCTAGTTTTGATTGTACATTTGAACAATTTATCCAAGAGTTTTCACAAGTATTCAATCAAGACACAGACAAGTCCACAGAGTCTCGTGGACTTTTAGAATTTAAACAAGAAAATAGAACTGTTGCCGAATTTTCAATCGACTTCCGGGTCAAAGCTGCTGCGTCCGGATGGAATGAATCTGTGCTTAAAAGCACTTATTTCCATGCTCTAGACGAATCTATTAAAGACGAGCTGGCCACTCTCGATGAACCAGCAACCTTGGAGGAGCTCATCAAGTTAACAATCCGTTTGGATAACAGACTGCAAGCCAGATTCAAGCAAGGGTGTAACTTTGTGTTGAAAGTTGGTGGGGACGGCTCATAAGGAAAGAGAGCTACCTGCGCGACGCCTTTTTTTTTGTTGGAAAGGATAAAGCCAAAAAAATGTAAATAACATTTATCAATTTAATGCTTACAATTGAAAACATAACTGTTACAATATTCACTTATATATTTTGTGCAAAAAATATCACATAAATCTAAACAGACAGTACAAAT